CTGGGAGCATCCCATCCCATGCAGCAAATGGAGGGGCTCTGTCCTGGGGCTTGGGGGTTTTGGGGTGGGAGGGACCTCAGAGCTCAGCCATTCCCACCCCCTGCCAGAGGTGGAAGCTCCCATGAGCCCAGGTTTCTCCAGGCCCGTCCAGCCTGGCCTTGGCCACTCCCAGGGCCGGGGGGCTTTTCTGGAATTCCACAGGAGTCAGATCCCAGAGTCTGAGGGGAAATAGAAGCTGAGGCTCAGGCAGAGCCACAAAGCCGTACCTTTGATCAGCCGATACCACTGCTTGCACACCAGGGCGGCGGTTTTGTGCTCCTGGTAGGGAGACAGGAAGGACAGGATGTATTCCAGCACCTCCTCCGGGAGCTCCAGCATGGATCTGTTGTGCCTGCTCTCCTCCAGCTCCAGCTCAGCCTGGGGCTCCTCCTCCTGCTCCATCGTCCCCTCAGCCGCCGCGTCCTCGGCATCCACGGCCATGAAGCCATCGTCGTCACTGTCCGAGGAGCTGGCCATGGCATCCCACTCCACTGCTGCAGAGGGACAACAGCGGGAGTCACAGATCAGCTGGGAGCACCAGTAACTCACCTGCGAGGGTCCCACCAAAGCCACCACCGCCACAACACCCCGGGGGGACGTGGGGTGCAAAGCTCTGGAGCAGGGGGGACACGGCTGAGGAACTCCTGGGTCTGCAAAGCTCTGGGGATGGTTTAGGAACTCCTGGGTCTGCAAAGCTCTGGGGATGGTTTAGGAACTCCTGGGTCTGCAAAGCTCTGGGGATGGTTTAGGAAATCCTGGGTTTTAAAAAGCTTTGGAGCAGGTGGGAGATGGTTTAGGAACACGTTTTCCTAGGTCACTCCATCTTTTCCCACTCTCCAGCTGGAACCTGAGAGCCAAACCCAAGCCTGCAGGAGGACCTGGGCCCCCACAGCCACTGTCCCCTCTGCCAGAGGGGGACACTGCCCTGCCCTGCTTTGCAGTGGGCAGGGAGAGGGAATGGGATCCCCATGGAATCTCCCCCGAGGTGATCCAGGACTGCAGTGACATTCCCACCCCTGTGAAACCAGTTTTGCCACCTGTTTTCCCCCCCAGTTTTGCCACCTGTTTTCCCCCAACCTTCCCAGGGGGAATTCCCGGTCCAGTTCCCTTCCACACCCCCCTGTCCCTTGTTGTTTTGGCACATGGTTCCCTCTGGCAGCAGGTGAGGAAAGCAAATCCCCAGGGATTTATGGAAGGCTGGGATGTCACAGGCTGTGTCTCCAGCTCTTCTCAAGTATGAGGTGACTGATCGATGACAGAAACAAATCGTCAAATAAATCCACCTTAACGAGGGGCACTTGGCAAGGGAGGGGGTAAATCCATGGCTGGAAAACAAATCCCTCCACCTCAGTTCCCAGGAAGCTGCCAACCTGGTTTGGCTGCTTGGCAATAAATGATTAAACAATAGATAGATAAATAAATAAATGTTCTGATATATAGATATCCTGATAATAAAACCACACGAAACCCCATGAATGTGGATTATGAACCTGACTTATAAACGTGGTTTATAAATAAAATTTACTAGGATAAATATCCTGATATATAAATATCCTGATAAATAACCTCATTAAACCACATGAACATGGATTATGAACCTGATTTATAAATGTGGTTTATAAATGAAATTTATGAGGATAAATATCCTGATATAGAAATATCCTGATAAATAAACCCCATGGAACCCCATAAACGTGGCTTAGAAAGCTGATCCAAGCCATGTTTATTTACCAGGAATGTCACAACCTTCCAGCCACATGCAGGCTCTTACCCAGCTTGTAAATATTCCCAAGCATCCACTCTGCTGCATCCTTGTTTTCTAAACCTTTGAGCACAGGGAATGGCCATCCCTGGAGTTGTGACATCCCACTGGTGTTTTCCTGAAGGAAAACAAGGCCAGCAATAAACTCAGCTCCCAAAAGGCTGCCAAAACAACCCTTTGGGCTTGGTCTGCCAGGTAGGCACGTTTTGGTGGGAATGGGCTGGGAATAACCCCCCTGGACTGCCAGTCCCATAATCCCTAAAAGGATGAGGAAGGAGAATCCCAGTAAGAAGGAGCCTCCCAGCCAGCTCCCCTTCAGCACATCCACGGGAGGAAATCCCACTCCTGTGTGGAGTTATCCCAAGAGCACAGCTGTGTCCCTGCATTTTAGGGGTGCCAGAGGTGCTCTCTCCCTGCTCCAGGTGCTCTCTGCAGGGCTTCACTTTTGAAATTAATCTCTGAGCACTCAAATAAAGGGATTTAAGCAGTTGTGTCTCATCCAAAAGCACCTGCATTCCAGTTAATTCTGGGATGGATCCCAGAGCCCCGTTCTGGGATAGATGGCTGCCAAGCCCAACACAACCCCCAATATCCTATTCTGCACCTTGCTCCTGGAGGAATGCCCTCATATTCCAGCAGTAGGACGGTTCAGGAGCATTTCAGGAATCAGCCTAAACCAGAGCAAGGAGGAATTGCTTAAAATAACCTGTGAGGAGAAGCTGGAAGGGAAGGGAAGGGAGCTGTGCCGGCACGGCTGGAATTTGCCTGCCCTCTGTGCCAGCTGGCAAAACATTCCACCAACCTTTTCCTCCTTCCAGAGTGCTTCAGCTTGCCCTCTTCCCCCCTCCCGAAAGGAGTTAAGAACCTGCTATTTATTCCCCTTAATAATTACGTGGAACGAGCAGCCGAGGAATATTAAATACAGCTAAAAATCACCCCAGCTGGGCTGAGGCCAAACCTGCTCCTGCAAATCCCCTCCTGCTCCAGGAAGGTTTTCCTACCTGCAGGCAGCATTCCCGACCCCATGGACCCCGAATCCCAGGCGTGGCTGGCACTGGTGGTTCCCATCCCGAGCTGCCTCCTCTTCTCCCCAATTCCAGCTGCTTTAGGAAGTGTTGGAACCCGCGGGGGAGTTTTGACCTTCCCTTTTCTTTTTTTTTTTTTTTTTTCTACAGTCAACAGGATTTTAAAAAAAAAAAAAAAAAAAGGGAAAAAAAAGCCTCCAAGGGAAAGTTGTTGAATGAAAATGAGGGGCTGAGCCAGAGTCCTGAGTCAGAGCTCGTTTCCACACTCCACAGAAAGTCCTCTCTCCAAACCCCGGCGGAGGAGCTGGGAAAAAACATTCCAGGTGCGTGGAAGGACCAGCCCTGGCTGGGTTGGGAGAGGAAGGGCTTTAATTGCACTGGGCAATCAGGAGCTCCAGGGAATTCAGGTCTCCAACCTGCTCCAGCCGTGCCAGCAGCTCCCTGGGCACAGCAGGGACATTTTTACACAGGAAAACAGCACAGGGAGTGAAAGATCCGTGGGAAGTGTGGGATTTGGGACACCATCATTGAACACAATCATATTTCCAGTCCCAAAAGCCGCACCAGACCAAGGAGATCCTTTGGAAAATCAACAGGAAAAAAAAGCAGATTTTAGTCACAAAAAAAAAAAAAAGGCTCTGGGAATCTCTGGGATGAGCAATATCCTGTCTAGGCTGCTGGGAAAAATCACCCAGAGGAGTGAGACCTTGGGAATACCGACCCACGGAGTCTCCTTATCCCTGCAAACCAGGTAATTCCAAGCCCTTTGAAAACAGCTTTTCCTTTTTTCCTTTTACCCTTTTCAGGAAATCGGTTTGGTTTGGTTTTTTTTCCTTCCTCATAGAAGTCCTTGCTTCACCCAGGAAAATGAAGGATACTGAAATTCCATTCCCAAGGTTGGGGGATGGAATATATTCCAATATTTCTCTCCCAGCACCAACTCCCTCCACGTTAAAGCAGCGTTTTTACAGGCTCTAAATTCCAAAGGCCACGAGCTCATTTTACACTGGAACAGCAGCACTGCAGCTGGATTTTGATTGGTGACACAAAGGGACAAAATTCCCAGGAATTCCTCCCTCCCCAGGGATGAGCCAACGCTCAGCTGTTCCAGATTCCTGCTCATTTTTTCCCAAGCTCTCAGAAGGAAAAAGAAGTGCCTACAAAATCAAAGGAGAAGGAAGATGTGGAGGTTTATCCCAGGATAATCTCTTGGAATGCCAACCAAGGGGCTGGTGTTGGGGGGGGGTCCCAAAACCAAGGGGGGGCCGCAGTTTAGTGACCCCACACTTGAGGTGTCCACAGGAGAGGTGACATTTCAATAATGTGAATATATTATTATTAATAATAATAGGACAAAGCCTCAGAATTGGCCCCAAAGCCTCATCAAATATTAACAGTAAATATTAATAAAACCACAGCAAAAAGAAAAGGCACCAAGGGAACCCTTAAACATCCTGCAATCCTGGAATATTCCTGCAAAACGCTGCCAAAAAAGCCCAAACCTCCAACATCCACCAGCCCCTGCATTGGCTGGGGATGCCTTTGGAGACTTCCCCATTTTTTTGGGACAACGTCATGACCCTTAAAACAGCTTAACTGGTTTAAAAGCTGCCCCAGTGCCGGGGCAGTCGCTCAGAGGGTCAGTTTGCTGGCGGGATTCCTCCCCTTTCCCGGGATCCCCCTCGGTTTTGTAGGGAACAGGGAGTGTTTGGGCTCACACGCTCCCTCTGCCGGCTCCCAGCGAGCTTTGATCCCAGTTATCCTCACCTCAACTCTTCCCAGCACGATCCTGGTTCACCTGAACACCGAGGCAAAGCACGGAACAAAACCCTAAACAAGCAAACCAAAGGCTGGGAGGCTGGAAAATGAGGATTTTCCAAGGAACAGGGCAGCTGCTCCTCCTGGAACACCCGCTGTCAGAGGATATACTTGGAACAGAGGCTCCTTGGGTGAAAACATCCCCTGGGATTTATCCAAACCTGCCATCAGAGGTGGCAGAGATGATTCACTGGCAAGAATTCCCGCTCAGCAGGAGATCCTGGGAATAACTGTCACCTCCTCCTTTGTTAGGAGACCACAGGAGGTCTGCAGCTCTCGGACAAGCCCTTGGAAAGCTGCAGATTTTGAGGCCAGCCTGGAAAGGCATCCCCAGCATTCCTTGTGTTCTCCATCTCCGACCTCCCAGAGCCACCAGAACCGGTCCATCCACACGTACAGAGGGAATTTCTGAAGGAACCACGGCCAGAGCCATGGCATTGACCCAAAATCCCCCTGGAAAACACAGCTCCTGTGATCTCCTCACCTGCATTTCCACCCAGCCCAGTGCCTGTGCCCGGGTTCACACGGCCCCAGCGGGATAAGGAAAGGAAAAGCCGGGAAATGCCTCAGGGAAGGGCTGGGTAACAGAAGCAGAGCCATCCCAACAAACTGGGAGACTGAATTCCTGGTTTTCTGACAGGCTGCACTGGGGGGGTTGTAAAAAAATCCAAGCTTTTTGTTGCACAGGTGAACCCAAACTGCTGCTCCCAGCCCAATTCCCACCGGGAGGGACCCCCATTCCCGAGGTGCCCACGTGTCCAGCAAACAGGGAAAGTGGGTGTGGGAGCCCACCCGGAGCACGACTTCCTTGACCTGGATCACATCCACCTCCTCCAGCTGAGCAGGCAGCTGGGAAAGCTGGGAAAGCAGGAAAATGGCATTTCCTACGCAGGCACACGCGGGATGGGGGGTCAGACCTTCGCATCCTCCCTCTCCCTCTCCCGTCACAGGGTCTTTCCCTTCCTGTCTTATGAAACTTGGGGGAACTAAGGATCATGGGATGGGTTGGGAGGATCCTTAAAGCTCCTCCAGCCCCACCCCTGCCATGGGCAGGGACACCTTCCACTGTCCCAGATCGCTCCAACCTGGCCTGGGACCCTCCCAGGGCTGGGGCAGCCACAGCTGCTCTGGGCAACCTGTGCCAGAGCCTGCCCACCCTCCCAGCCAGGAATTCCTTCCCAAAATCCCATCTAAACCTTTTAGATCCTAGAGTAGGATCTCTGAGACCTTCCTGCTCCTGAATAAGGCAGAGAGAGGCAACAGGACCGGGAATCGGTGGGAGAAGGAAAGCAAACTGCACCAGCCTTGCTCCCAAAAACCCATCGAGAGATGGACACGCGACTTCCTTCCCAAACTGCCAGCACTTCCAGAGGCTCAGTCAGCACCGACACCTCACTGCAGTGCTGTCCATGAAATCCATGATTCCCTGACCATGTAGAGCTGGGATTGCTCTGCTAAACACAGAATGTCCTGAGCTGGAAGGACCCCCAAGGATCATGGATCCACCTCCTGGCCCTGCCCAGACACCCCAACAATCTCACCCTGTCCCTCAGAGCGTTGTCCAAACCCTCCTGGAGCTCTGGCAGCCTTGGGGCTGTGCCCACTGCCCTGGGGAGCCTGTTCAGTGCCAGCCACCCTCTGGGGGAAGAACCTTTCCCTGAGATCCATCCCAACCCCTGGCACAGCTCCAGCCATTCCCTGGGCGCTGTCCCTGGGCACACAGGGATTGGTGCTGCCCCTCCACAATCCAGCTCCCAGCAGACAATGAGGAGCAGAGGATTCCTTTCAGGAGGTGGAGCAGGTGGGAAGGGAAGGATGAATTCTTCCCTCTTTGGTGATCCCAGGTGAGGAACAGCCCGGGGGTGCAACCCTGGAATAAAACTGGAAGGATTGCTCCGTGTCCCCTCCGAGGCCAGGCTTTACAGGATGGAGAAATGGGACTAAATCCAGAGGGAATCCCCTCTCAGTGAGGTGTGAGGGGCTGGGAACAGCACCCATGAGCCACTGGGCAAACCCCCAAAACCACTGAGCCAGGGCAGGAAAATACCACCCAGGAATTCCACTGGTCAGGAGTCTGAGCCACCCCCCAGGCTGCAGGAGGATCTGCTGCAGTTCCCACTCCTTGGGACAGTTTGCTCCTATTTCTTACAGGGATTTTTGTACCTCAGTTAATGGGAGAGGAGAAGCCCAGGACGTCAGGGATACACAGCTCATCCCTCCACCCTTTACATCACATCTCCAGTCTGGTTGTTTAGTGAGGCTCAGAAACGCTAAATATTCAATACTGGGAAAGAGACAACGACAACAAAAGAAGTCAAATCCACGTTGTGTTAATAAGCAAATGAAATTCAAGGAAATGGTGTGAATTTCCAACCAGTGTTTGTCTCTTAATGACAAACTCAGCTTCCCAAGGTCTCCATTTGTTAAAATCCTGCCCCCCAACCATCCTCGTGCTGGGAACGGCACCCCAAGGGCTCAGGAGTCTTTTTAAAAGTGCAGATGGATCCCTTGGATCACTGCAGGCTGTCCAGAGCGACAGAACCCAGCAGGAATGGTCAATCCCTGTCACACACCCCCTGATCTGAGAGGTTTTGGGATGGACATTCGTCCCACAGCAAAGTTTTGACATTTACGAGCTGCTTTTTCCCCAGAGACCCCCAAATCACTCCTGAAAGCAGAGATGATCTGCCCACTGAAAGCTAAGGAGAGCCCTGGAATCCTGGAATGCTTTGGGTGGGAAGGGACCTCAAAGCCCAGCCCAGCCCTGCCCTGGGCAGGGCCACTTCCACCACACCACGCTGCTCCCAGTCCCGTCCAACGAGAAGCTCCACAGAAATCCCAGCAGCTCCACCAACTTCCCTGAGTCCTTCCAACTCCCAAATCCCAACCAGGCCAGGGAGAGGCTTCAAGGCAGCCGGAAACACGGGCAGAGACTCCGCGGGTGGGGAGCGCCAATCCCGGGTGGAGCAGGGAGGGGAAAGGAGGATTTTCATCCCAAATGTCGCAGTGGGAGCTCAGGAAACAAGGATAAATCCTTTCAGCATTCCCAGAGGAACGGGGGAGCAAACACAGCCAGGCTCCCTGAGGAGGGAGCCCTGATTTCTGCAGGTGGCTCAGCACGAGCCGGGGTTTTCACGCGGATGCGTCACCGTGATCCGCTTTCATCCCGCAGTTCAAAAGGAATTCTGACCTGGATTCCCAAATTCCACCCGAAGCTGCTCGTGGCAGCACAGCCA